TTGGCACGACAAACACCAAAGGAATTGCACCTTTAGAGGATTTAAGGTCTCCTAGACCGGGGAGTGCACAAGACAGTGCGAATGAAATGCAAGTAAAATGCAAGTACGATGCGCAAAACAGCGTAAATGATGATGCAGGATTTAAGGTCTCCTTAGACCGGAAGATTTAGGTGGGGTGGTGCTAGGTGGTGGTGTAGAAATGGTGTAGGGTTTGGGAGGTTTTGAGGGTTGGAGTGTAGAGAGAGAGAGATACAATGTAGGAGCTCCAAACCAAAATTTCTAACCCTTCAAATGGGAGCTGGAGGGTCTGGATATATAGCCAAAAGAGGGGGGAAAAAAGGGGGGGAATGGAATTTAAATTTCCCCCCAAAAGTGCAGCCCCCCCGGATAGACAATCTGGGGGGTAACAAAATACAGATTTGTAATATACCAGAGGAGTGGGAGCAAGGCTGGCCTGGTATTTAAGTTTCAGGTGGCCGTCCGGCCCTCCCCATGGCCGGCCGGCCAAGGGTCAAAAGGTTCAAGCAGTATTAGTGGCCGGCCACCCCAGATTGGTGGCCTCCCATGTGTGCACAACACAACCATGTGGTCAAAAACTGGAGAAAGTAAACCATGAGAGAGAAAAGTCCACTTTTTTGAGGGGTTCAAAAGGGTCAAACACAATTACTGGTTGGCCATGTGATATTGGTGGCCTCCTAGGTGTGTACAACACAAATATGTGGTTTAGGGCTGGAAAAAGTGGCCTTAGGGTGGTCAACATTGGCTTTCAAGTGAGAAAAAAAGGCGACGGAGGGCGATGGAGGAATAAAACTGGTTGTCAGAACAATTACTGGCCTCCCACCCTTCTACGACCTTCCTAACAATGAAACAGAGGTCCCTGCCAAAAATGAACTCAAACCAATGCAAAATGGAGGTTCGGGGGCCGAAACGCGCAGCCCGAGGCCCCGAAAACTGACTGTTAGGCACCGGAAGTGGTGTTCGACCACGAAGTTAGTTTTTCGGACCGCAGTGCCCTTCAAAAGGAAGTAAATAAGATGCATGCCAAAAAAACGGAGCAAACGGAGGTGGTTAAGCGGTCCCGAACCGAGGCACACGGCCAACGGCTCCGAAAAATCAGAAACCGGACTCCAAACGGGCAAAATGGCCTACGACCACGAAACGTAGCCTACGGCCACTGAGAGATATCTACGAGACCTCTCCCTTCCTTCAGGAAGAGAAAACAGAGAAAATAGAACCTGGTTCGCAAACCGAGGCAAAGCACGAAAGAGCCCGAAAGTCCGGAGGCAAGGTTTGCAACCGGGACTGCGAAACTTCTGAACGAGCACGATATGCAACATCACCAAGCGCTCAATCGGTGACGTCTGAGTCTTAAGGTCGGTCAAAAATGGGGTGTCTATATCTGGTTACCAAACATATTTTCAAATGTGTTCTGAAATATGATTTGAAATTATATTTTGAAAACTATAATCAAACAGAAGGTTGGAATATGAGGGTGGAATCATGATTCTAGAATTGAACCAAATACAGCCATTATTTTCAAGCAAGGCGCAAGGGTCTCGATTACCTCCAATAGCTAGACAAGAGTGTATTGTTTGGGTCTATTGAATCTATCATAAGTATCGTTTTTGTTTATTTGAATAATTTATTTTGTACGACCTTTAGATTGATTTGATAATTGTAACATGTTTAATTAATTAAATAAGCTTTTATTTATATAAAAAAATGATATCGATATAATAATTCTAATTTGTTTAATTTATTACATTTATCACAAAAAAATTAATACACTTGAGGTTTATTTTTTTAAGATAAATGTAATAAATTAAGTAAAATATGATTATCACATAGAACCGTTTTTTTTTTTTTTTTTTAATTTAAAAAAAATTTTAAAAAAAAAAACCCGAATGAAATAGGTTGATTCAACTAATTGATTGGCCGACCAATTCACTTAAGACCACAAAATTAAATTGCAATAGCAAATGATTGTTTTGAAACTAGCTATTTTAGTTTTTTTAGTTTTTTATTTTTTACAAAAAAGATATTTAAAAAAATATAGAGAATAATTGAATTTTTAGTAGCATTTTTATTTATTTATTTTTTAATTAAAATAACATCCTGCTTATATGTATTTTTATATGTATTAAAAATTATACATCACAAAATTATAAAATACAAAAAATATTAAAATCCCAATACAAATTTTACTTATTTCAAAATATTTTTATATGTATTTACACATTCCAATATATTTTGTACTCTTTTATCCATAAAATGCTTAGCACTAATAAATTTGCACAAAAATGTAAAAAAAAAAAAATCATTTTAGTTTAAAATTTTTAAAAAGAATTGTAAAATTTTTTAATTCATACATTTTTATTTTTCATAAAAATATTAAATATATATATATTTTTTTTACATATTAGATTCATTTTTTTACTTCTTTTGAGCTGCAGTTAAACCATTTGAACGGGAGCAGTTTATTAGAAACGGTTGATAAAATTATAAATGTAAATAAAATATATTTATATTTTATTTAATTTTACATATGTTTTTGTTTGAAAGACTTACATATAAGTGTTAATAAGTAAATTTATTGTCCAATAAGTTATATAATAATTAATGTGTTTTTATCAAATATTATTAAAAAAATCGCTAATTATTAATTTTTACCGACAATTTTAAAATATTGTCATAAAAAATTGTCAGTAATTATAATTTTAACGACAATTTAAAAAAATTGTAACAAAAAAGTCATTAATTTTGAACTTTTAGCGACAATTTAAAATTTCGTCACAGAAAAATGTCAGTGATTATAAGTTTTAGTGACAATGTATAAAAATCGTAATAAAAAAAGTCATTAATTATCAATTTTTAAATACAGACATAAAAAGCGTTACAATAAATTTTTTTAGCGACGATTTTAGTAAAACTTATTTTTAATAAGATTTGATGAGAATTAAATCTAACTATTAAAACTTATTGGTAATTACCTCTATAAATTATCGCACCTTATCAATGAGTTCCTAATTTTCTTTTATTATTAAAACAGGATGGGAACAAATATAGGGGCAATTTGGGAAGCTAAGTAAAAAACTAATTTTTAACTTTTAACTCATTTTAAGGAAATTTTATTTACATGTACCCAATTATCTCAGTGCACATATTTAATAAAATATTATTTTAATAACAATCATGTCTTAAATTAAAATGACCATAATAGACATTCACTAGCATTTATAATATTATATGAAAATATTTTCTGTACAATCTTTAAAAAAAAAAAAAAAGTCTCAATGTACAATTTTTGAATAAAAAAAACTAAACCTTAATTTTTTTTTTATTGTTGTTACTATGCTTGCTACACACTCTATACTTCTCTATTGTTTGCAAATCAATACTCTCATATTGTTTTAATCTCTAGATTTATACTCTATTAGTAATGAAAATGTTAGTTTTTTTTGTGCAGAATTTTTTTTTTTTTTTTCGTGATTTTCAGTCAGACAAACAATACCGAATTATTTCAGTATATTTGGACATTAATTGCCGAATTATTTAATTATATTCGGACATCAATCACAGAAAGTTTTTTTTTTGGAACAAATTTATTTTTTTTTTATTGTTGTTACGATGCTTGCTACACACTCTATACTCCTCTATTGTTTGCAAATCAATACTCTCATATTGTTTTAATCTCTAGATTTTATACTCTATTAGTAATGAAAATGTTAGTTTTTTTTGTGCAGAACTCTTTTTTTTTTTTCGTGATTTTCAGTCAGACAAACAATACCGAATTATTTCAGTATATTTGGACATTAATTGCCGAATTATTTAATTATATTCGGACATCAATCACAGAAAGTTTTTTTTTGGAACAAATTTATCGAACTAATCACTTTTATTCAAAAGTTAAGTTTTGAATTAAATGTGTAATTTCAAAAAATCAGTGTCGAAATCTCTAAACCGAAAAACATTAAAAAAAACAAAAAAACAAAAAAAAAATGTGGAAAGGAGGGTTGAGTAGTATGTGTACAATGATTATAAGTAAATGATATAATTGTAATTTTTAGTATGCAGATTGAGAAAATTAATTAATAATCAAATTAATAAATGTATGTACTGAGAGAAGATGTGTACTAAAGTAATTAAATATGTAGAAATAAAATTTTTTTATTTTAAATCATATCACGTCTCACAATTTTTATACATAGAAAGACAAAAAAGTTTAAAAAATTAAAAAATTAACTTTTAACTGATTTCTCAAAAAAATCTACAGGGGCGGTTTGGGAAATAAAAATTTAGTTTACTTTTCAGAGGTAAGACTTTTTTTTAATTTGGTACTAAAAGGTTGATTTGATAATTTTTTTAAAATTTTATAAGAAAAAAAACAAAATGATGATAGTTTAAATATGGTATTTGACTTATTATTTTGCATTTTTTTGTTTTTGTTTTTGTTTTTGTTTTTTATATATTTGTCTTCCATACGAAGCCTAATCAGCCGGTAATTTTGCACTATCCACACCACCTCCATTTTAGGGCAGATTACGCAGAGATATTGAAAGAGAGAACTCATAGTCCCACCGCCACAGCCATTGAAGCAGTCCTCCACTCTTCAGGTACCACCCCTCTCCTCCTCTGCCTTCCCCTCAATCTGGGTTCTTTGTCTTTGTTTCCAAAATCCGAAGAAATTTTTCATTATTGGGTGAAAAAGGTGAGAGCTTTGTCTGGATAATTTGTGAATATGAGTAACCCACTTTCCCCATTCATTATTTTCTTGTATGTAATTGAAAAAACTAGTATTTTTATATATGAATTATAGTTTGTTGTCTATGTGTTCTGATTTTAGTATTTGGAACCATTTAAATCAAATTTGGTTGTTGATATTTTATCAGATCATCTACAATTAGTTGTTTTTTTGTTTGTTGTAGGGTTTTACATTCACAATTTTTCTATGCTTCTGATTTAGAATATCAGGAAAATCGGTTTAATTTTTGTATTTCAAATAACGATTTTGGGTTTCTGAGAATTTTTGTCTTCCCTTGTATAAGAATTAGCCATTATTGCTTCCTTATGATTTATTGATTTAGGAATCGATTTGTTCAAAAGGGATTGAGAGGGTATGTATGACTATCCTTTCATGACCAGAAGGGATTAGTGTTCTGTCAAAGCTGAAATCCTGACTCTTCTAGAAGGCCTTAGTGAAACCTAGGTAACTAGGTTAATTGTTCAATAAAACTTTGTGAAGTTGATTTTTTGTTCAGCAAATGCAAGGTGTTTTTGTAAAGAGGAGCCTTTTAACACTTAAGAGAGTGTTTGGTTTGTTGGAATGATTTTGGGTAGGAATGGGATGGTTGTTCTTTGACTTCCCAATGGAATGGTCATTCGACTATCCTTTCATGACCAGAAGGGATTAGTGTTTTGTGAAAGCTGAAATCCTGACTCTTCTAGAAGGCCTTAGTGAAACCTAGGTAACTAGGTTAATCGTTCAATAAAACTTTGTGAAGTTGATTTTTTGTTCAGCAAATGCAAGGTGTTTTTGTAAAGAGGAGCCTTTTAACACTTAAGAGAGTGTTTGGTTTGTTGGAATGATTTTGGGTAGGAATGGGATGGTTGTTCTTTGACTTCCCAATGGAATGGTCATTCTGGTGATTCCATTTGGAATATATGTTTTTACTTTTTACCGTACCAAACATGGGAATGCGTAATGGGTGTTTTGGCAGAATAATCATTCCATTCCAACCTTCATTATAGTGAACCAAATACTGCATAAAACTTGACAGTTCATTAATCATATACTGCTGAATGACATATTGGATACTCATATTTAAATGCATTTTATTCCGATATCTGTTCTGCTATTGTAGTAGAGGGACTTCTTCATATTTTGCTTTATTTATTGGATTAGGTGTTTCAAAGGTTTCCCTAAATCTTTAATATGGATCGACAAGCTCATGATTATGCCACAGCTATGGCATTTGTTCAGCAGCAGCAGCAGCAGCAAACAACTAATATTCAACAGCAGCAACAATTTGGTTTTCATCAACAGTTCCCTCCATCAGTACACGGTCCTCCTTTTCTTCCACCACATCCCTCTCTCCAACAGTATCCTTTCCCTCGCCACATGCAACAACCACATCAACTCCATCCTCATCCTCCACCACATCCTCACCTTCTTCATCTTCAGCAGCAACAACAGCCTCCACCTGTATTTCCTCCACATATGGCCCCTCATCTTGTTCCTTCACCTTTCATTGGTCCATATGATTCTCCACCACACCCTGCAGCTCCACCATCTGATCCTGAACTCCAAAAGCGAATCGATAAACTTGTTGAGTATGCTGCCAAAAATGGCCCTGAATTTGAAGCCATGATTCGTGAAAAACAGCAAGACAATCCTGATTATAGCTTTCTATTTGGTGGTGAGGGCCATAATTACTACCGGTACAAGCTTTGGTTATCTACACATGGCCCGGGTGGCCCCTTCAACCCACCTTTCCCATCCTCTTCTATGCCTATGATGCGTCCTCCAAATCCTATGATGAACCAGTCATCGTTAAATGCTCCTCCGTTGGGTGGTCCTCAAATGCACCAACCTCCTTTTACACCACCGTTTTATGAGCAACAACAGCACCATCAACATTCTCAGCCTTTTGTTGGTCATGGACGACCAGATTATGATCACTCTTCCAGGTCATTCAAAGGTCTCTCTGGACCTCTGCCTTCAGATGTTGCGATGGAGATGAACAATGTGCTTAACAATCTCACTGGAACCAAAGAGTCAATCAAAGGTGCCAAGATTTGGTTTATGCAGAGGTCTCCATTTGCACCAGCTCTGGCCGAGGCACTTAGGGACAGGGTGTTTGGTGTGGATGATTCTGAGAGACAATTGCATATAATTTACCTTGCCAATGACATTCTATTTGACAGGTACACTTTCAGTGCTATGCCAAATCTTAGTTCAACATAAATTTGAGTGCTGTTGAAATGAATTTGATTTTGGCTGCTTTCCTGTGTGTGAAGACCTATTGCTTTATTTTCTTCTTCTTTATTACATGTATTGCAGGATTCTTATTCACTGATATTTTCTGCCTCTTAAATGCTTCCACTGCTTCATATCTCGTGGTGTCCACTGGCTACTCGAGTACATTATTATGTGTGCTTCCAAATTTGTCATATAAAAAATAATAATAAAATTTGATTTTCCTCCCAGATACAAATTTCTTTTTAAGTTTGTTCAATTTGATACAATGATATTACACTGTTGTTTTAATGAATATGTGGTATTGATCTATCCTGGTAATTATATTTTGGCAAGATAGCAATGTTCTTCGATTTTGATGATATAGTAAGGGGAATTAAAATCGAGCTATTGTGATGCGAACGCAAGAAATTATTTCTTTCTTGAATGCTTCTTAATTGTTTAATCTTTTGGCTATCAATGTGTGCATTGATGCTACATATGTTTATCCTTGTGTCATTCTTGAAACATACAGCTTGCAGCGTAGGATCAACCCTCATGAACTTGATAACGAGGCACTTGCATTTAAGCCTGTTTTAGGTTCCATGCTTGCCAGGATTTACCACAACCCTCAAAACAAGGAGGAAAATCAATCACGATTGCAGAAAATCTTACAGTTCTGGGCTTCCAAGGAAGTCTATGATCATGTCACTATTCATGCGCTTGAGAATGAGATGATTGGTGGACCACCAACGAATTTCTTTCCAAAGGAATTATCTGCTGCTTCAACTGATCCCTCAACTGCAGGTTCTCTCTCTCTCTCTCTCTCTCTCTCTTATGCTGATCCTCAGCTCGCTTGGAAAATTGCAAGTTTGAAGAAAAGTATGATCTTTACTGTGGGTTTTTTGTCCTTAGTTTGCATATACTCGTGTTTTCTGTCTGAATTTTTGAATTTATATATGTTGAACTTGTTTTTCTTTGTGTTCAGGATTGCCGCAACTGGCAACAAATCATAATGCCCTACAGTGGCAGCTTGATAAGCAAGGTTCGGTGCCAATATTGACTGATAAAGACTATCCTGATAAATTAGTTCCTTCTATACCAGCCATGCCATCATCCCTAGCAACCCAGCCGTTTCTTCCCAATTCAGTCCCTACCGGTCCTTTTACCGGGTCCATACCCATACAGTCTTCTCTTCTACCTGCAAATCAACAGACTGCACCCCATCTATTGCCACCATCAATTAGCAACACAGGTGAAAAATTACCCCCGTACCCTTTATTTCCACCTGGTCTTATTCCTGGAATGGTCAGAAAGATGCAAATCGGCAGTGGGGTACCTTACTCTCCCATGAGCCCTCTCGATATCCCAACTGTGATCCCGCCTTCCAATGTATCTCCTTCTGAAATTCTTAATAGTGTGTCGAAGTTTTTCAAAGAGATCGGAGAGGTTAACCCTTCTGAGGGACCCATGAATGGGTCTGACTCAAAAGATGACGACGAGGAGTACGAACGAGATTCGCCGGTTCGCAAAGGTGGAGCTTGCATTCCTCCACCCCCAAATCTACAGGTGGATCCGGAGACGGGGACTTATGCTGATGGAAGTGTAGAAAGGAAACCTGGGTCGAGTAGCTCGGGACGGTTGGGACTAGGTGCCGCCCCTAATCCAAATGAGGCGAGTCAATATGATGATGTTTATTCTTCTTATAGGAAACAGAGAAGCTCCAATTACCATACATCTATGAGTGCAAGAGCAGCTACTGCAAGGTGAAAAAGCCGATTTGTTGCAACTCTAATTGTAGTGGGGCCTGAAAACTGGAGGGTACTGTTCATGTTCATTCTTGTTTTTCGTTTCTCCCCCACCTCCCCCTTTGTTCCCCTGTTTCTGTGCTCGGAGTTGGAAATACCTTTTACTTTTTTAATGCTAGGAGCATTTGGCATTATTGATTTTAGGGCCTTGTGATTTTGGTTGATATGAATGTTCTAGTGTTAATGCATGGAAAGGGTACACTTGCTTTTGTCTTTGTTTATGAAACTGATTCCTTGGTTTCAAACTTCTCTCTCTCTCTCTCTCATCTTTGTTTATTTATTTATTTATTTTGTTGAGAAAGTTGATCTTTGTTGATGAAGACCCAAAAAAAACTGATTCCTTGGTTTCAAATCTCTCTCTCTCTCTATGTTCGAACATTTTGGGGTGTATAAACCTTAGTTGGGAAGGGTAAAGACACTCATACATAGAATCAAAAATATTTCCCAATCCTTGAACCATTCCCACTAAAACACAACTAAGAAACTACTAAGATGAAAATGGTGAAAAGTGAGGGAAAGGGGAAAAACAAATGCAACTTTTGTTCAGCATTATTGTGGAAGAAATTACAATAAAGTTAATTTTGCTATGCCAACTCACACTAGCATGTTAATTAGGTTTTTTTTTTTTTTTTTCCAAAATATAATCCCTCCAATTTTTATTTTTTTTTAATAATTTGTCCAAAGGGTTACTCATGATTTCTTTCTTGCAAAATTTTGATGCTAATCAAATGCTTACAATAAAATATAATTTCCCTTTTTGTTTTTTTGGTGTAAAATATAATTTCCCTTTTATTTCTTTTCTTTCACTTCATTTTCTACTAGCACCCCCCCTTAATTTGTCCTAATCAAACAAAGCTTAATGGTTAATGCCACAGTCAAACATGCAGATAAACTCAGTGATAAAAATTGGGAATGAGGGGTGAAGCCAAACAGAAACTATAGAGTGCTCTCATAAAGTAACATCAGTTATCTAACAAGATACAAACTACCACGAGGGTTTGTCCCACGTGTTTTTACAACTTGATTCCTTTAAAAACACAAAAAACAAATACAAAACAAAACTGTTTCAACTTGAAAATAGGAAACTCGTACAACTTGAAAATGATAGATAAGGAGGACTAGGCGCATGTGCTTTCACTTGTATTGGAAAACATGGAAACAGCAAGAAAATTTCATACAGTTGTTCCCTCCTTTCGTGTAGCATCAGTCGACTCGTATGCAGCGTCGGCTGAAGAGGTGTCAATATCATTCAGACCCAACTCCTCATTCTGCTCCCACGACCTCTCATATTCCTCGACTGCACATTGTCAATATGACATCATACAACAGCAACAATAAAAAGAAAAAAAATGCTAGCAAGGTAGAATTGCGTGCCATAAATAGTTGTGAAGAGAAAAATCCTTAGCAAACACAGTAAAAAAGATAAGAGAAAAAAGAGTAGGCATGGGTTGGTACCCATTGGGGTCTGGAAGAGGTACATTGGGTATAGACTAAACTTTTGACACGAATTGTACAAAGTGGCTGCCCTAAAGCTCAAACCAGCAACACCTCAAGTTTAATAGGCCGAGTTTCAACCATTGAACCAGTGGTTAAAACTGCGCTGAAAACAGCATTGTACAATATGCACAAAATAAGGTCCGTCCAAGTGCTAGGGCTTGTCTGCCTAATATGAAGACCACATCAGATAAACCACAGCTCTATACATTTTCTTGAAGAAAGATATTTGAAGAAAAAGAAAAAGAAAAAAAAAACCAAAAAAATTGAAACCCCGGCCATTCTCCAAAACATGGTTATGAGGATTTTCAACTTGGCCGTTGACTCAGGGTTGTTTTAAGAATTGACTTTTTTAGTATTTTTTGATTTATTATAAAAAGACGTGTAAAAAAGTAGAGAGAAGAGTTCGACTTTTTTGTATTGACAGCTTCATCCACAGAAGGGACATACAAGCCTACAACCCATAAAAACAGTTGTCTCATATAAATAAGATTGCATCAGAACACCAGCCATAGAGATGTGTGGAGGACTTACATGATAACTGATGGTCATCTTTAACATCGTCAATTGCCGGTGTGACAAAAGAATTAGCCAGGGCATCATCAATGATCAATGTCCACGGATCTTCCACACTCAGAAGCTGTACAGTAACAGTCAGACAGTTGAATGCTCACAGATAGTTTAAACAGTCAGACAAATCACCAATAACATACATTTAATGCCCACGTGGAGAAGACGCTAAATAAATGGGAATGTACAGCAGTCCATTTCACTATCCGTTGGACACATTCAAATGGTAAGAGAGAGTCAACATGGACATGCATTTCGTGTGCAATCTTCAACATTGAGAACAAATGAACTGACAATAAATGAGTCACTTGAAAATTGTCTACACTAAGCAATATCTGTGTATCTTGTGTATGCGTGTTTTTTGCGATTCTGAATTGAGAAACAATATCATTTTTTACACCATCTACAATAATCTCTTTTGGGTGGTGGGGGGAGAGAGACAGACAGACAGACAAACAGACAAGGGTTTGAGAAATGCCACAGTAAAGGATTTGCCGAACTGATCTGATAATTAAAGGGAAAAAATTTAAGGTTCAGGAAATGCTACAGGCATATGACAGATGGTAGCTTTCCTTTGTCATTTATTCTCCACTCCTTTTTTGGGATCATGATGGCTATTTAGTTCATAAAGAATTGAAAACATCATATTTGAGAGTTCACTACCTTGTTAAGCCTTGCTCTGAAGTCTAGCCACTTGCTTTTCTTACTATCATCAAGACTGTCCCCAAAAGTAAATCCATGTACTCTCTCAAGATCTGCACAATTAATCATATAATATATAATTCAATTTGGCAAGAGATGTGTAAATGTTGGTGCATATAACCAAAAAAGGAGGAAAAAGAGGCAATAAAATAAAAATTGATAGCATGACTAACTACAAAGCAAAAGAAATCAAAATTAAAATCAGAGACAAATAATGTGAAGATATCCATCTCCATATTTATAACATTAACATCAGTTATATATTGATAACATCCACTAGCTCCCAATGCACACTATAGTATCTTAACCAGAGAGAGAGAGAGAGAGAGAGAGAACTGCACAAAGACATAAATTTAGGAATCCAAATCCCTACAAGTCAAACAACTACTAACATGTGAAAGTTGGTCAATCTATACCATCTTTAAAAATGAGAGTGCAAAAACCATCAATATTTGGAAACATATACATTCCTGTCCTATAATTAGAAAATAAATAGATGAAAAACCGCCAAGAAAATCTTCAGCTTAAGGATAGAAATTGCAGCATGAAAATGAAAACCAAAGGATGGAAAAGGTACCCACTTTCACTAATTTTAGTGATCAGACCTTCAACAGTAGTCACAACTCCGCCCAATGTTCCACTTGTCAGCACCAAGTCAAGCTCTGGAACTTCTACACTAGCAGTATCTGACTGAGATATATCAAATGATTGTTAGTCAGCACATTTGAAGCCTATAAGCAAGCGTAAGTTTAGGGAACCCCTTGTGTTTTTTTTCTCCAGCATTAATTAGATTCAAACATCCTTAGTTAGCCATTGTCAGTTTTCATGAAGGCATATTCAAAATGTTCATTTGCACAAAAAATATGAGTGACAATGGCATACCTTTATCACATCACGGCTTAGATCATTAATGTTCTTCACAAGAACTGTAATTTTCTTTCCTTTTTGGGGAATACGGCCACCAGGCTTCAACTGCAAAGGGAAAGCATACACATCATCAGGATATTAAAAACGAGAATAGTAAAGAAAATATATACGTATGTACAAACCTCAGAATTGCGGTACCCACAAGCATCACAAGAGGATGCCATGACGATCACTTCTCGGAAGTATGGAATATCTGTTAAATTGTTAAGCTCAACAAAGCCTGTGCATATTTATCGGTAAAATGATCTGAGGGAAAAATAGTTTTCATTTCCAACCACAAAACTCATGGTAGTAGAAACAATCTTAGATTCCTCAAATATCGTTCTCCACAATCCTTTCAGACACTAAATGTATGCCATATTATTTGTATATGGCAAGTAGTATAAAAACAGAACCACTAGTGCCATGTCACATCTCAATGACAGAAGAGGTAAGAAGGATACTGGTGACAAACATTCGAGTCTCACACTTGGCTGCACAGGTTCCACATGTTGATGGGAAGCTCATCACCTATCCAGCAAGAAGAAATAAATAAATAATTGAATTGCAGCTTCCCATTTCATAAAAGAAACAGATGTGAAATTCAAGAAAATAGAGTAGCGAATTATCCATGCTCATTTTGCAACAAATTTACGTTCTACATTTGCACCACAAAAGACGGGAGGAGGGATAAGAAAGCAGGAGGTGGGAATGAACTTTTGAAAGGATATTTGTACCTCTTCTGGTGCAGAGTACCGAAACAAAGATTCAGCAAATTCTGCACTATTACCCTGAGCAATAGCCCGCTGACCAGCTGCAGCTCCAATTAATCCATGCGGTTCTCTTCTAGTTTGATCACCAGTACTATTTAGTTCCTCTGATAAAGCTTCATCACGATGTTCTCCCCCAAGTGACGGGTCGACAACGTACCCCAGTGATGCTTGTTGCTCAGGAGTTCGTTCATAGAACTTAATTGTCAATGAAGGATCCGGAGATGGAGCAAACCTATCAGGGATCAGTGGATGCCCTTCAGATTACCCAAAACAAAAAAAAGAGAGACAAGAAGAGAAAGAAAGCAAGAAAGCATTTAAAGTGAGGTACACAAGAAATCATTTGTTAATATACTTATTTAAAGGCCCCACATTAATGAAAGGGAGAAACACGGAGAGAAGAACTAACTATGGGCCTGTTTGTTATAGCTTATTATAAGCTAATAATCTATAAGCAGAATCTAAAAGCACCCCTCACTGAGCCACAGGATAATCAACTTTTTCCAGCTTAATTAAGCTATTTTTACCACTTATGCTGTTAGCAAAAGTTACAACAACAGTCGCACAAAATCTCACAATTTAAAAAAAACAAAACAACAAAAATTTAAAAAATAACCTATGTTACATGGACTGGGATACAGGTGTCAGATGTGGGTATGTATCTAGAGGGCAGAGTTTTCAAACCATAAATTTAAGGGTACATGGACTCGGCAAAAACAAATGTCATATTTTATATTTTTAATCAAGTATGTGAGATAAAATAGTGCTATATGTAACTTACAGTGTCAAAAAGACATTCAAAAAGACATTTATTGCAACTATACAACAATATGTACATATAATAATAGTGTTATATACAATTATATAAGAACTGTCTGTTGAAAAGTAGCTGACACATATCACATGCTCTTATCTGAGTGTCCGGTGTCTGACACGGGTATTTGATTTATTTTAAAGAGTCTGCGTAACATAGATAATAACCATAGGCAGCCCATTGAAGCTGCAACAAACAGCACATACAACAGAAATACCAAGATGAAGATCAAATTAATTAAACTCTCTTGTGCTAGAAATTTGCACAAGAATTTCAGCTTCAAAGCAGATTTCTTGTAATATTGGAGGGTCCTCCCAAGTCTTAGCAGGGGGTTTGGAGGACATCCTCTCTACAGTTCAAATATCATTATATTTTTACTATAATCAGACCTAAAGCAGACACTTATGTAATGTATTATGTCATTTTATAGATGTTGAAATTGATGTATTATTGATTGATTCATGTTGTATATTACAAATGGTGAGGGGCTCCTTATATAGGAGATGTAGTGGAGTAGGTGGTAGTAGGTAGTGGTAGGTGTAGTAGGTGGAGTAGTTTTTAACAGCCCCCCGCAAACTCAAGGGGGATAGGAACTAACCAACTTGAGTTTGGAGAGAGTAACAAAACAAGAAAATACACGAATACATAAAATAAAAAAGGATAGGAGACACTGTATGGTCGTGTCAGACCGTTGGTGAAGACGCTGGATGGTTGTGTCATAACGTTGTAGAGGACACTGTATAGTTGTGGCAGACCGTGGTAGCAGATAAAGCCTGTGACAGTTTACGGAGTCTTGCTGGACCCTTGTAGAAACTAACCGAAATCAATGTCGGGACAGTTTACAAAGTCTTGTCGGACCCATGAAAAAGTCGCACCCTCAAAAGGTGTGCCCAATCTTTCAAAAGGCGTGCCATCAAAAGGCGTGCCCAATCCATAAAAAGGCGTGCCATCAAAAGGTGCGCCAGACACGCGGCGATGCACGTGATCGACAGAACGCGTGTCGGCCTCTTTGTCATGGTCTTTATAAACCGAAGCGGAGGCGGAGGCTTGGAAGCAGAGACAAAAACCTACTAGAAAAACTCTGAAAAACTCTTCGTTTTTCTGAGAGAGATTTCTGAGAGAGATACTCTGTAACACTCATGTTGTCTCTGTTTTCTGAGAGAGATTTCTGAGAGAGATACTCTGTAACACTCTGTTTTCCAGAAAATGGCTTCGTCTTCCCGTGGTCTGCTCACTCTCTTTCCAGACCTTAACGAGTCAACAAGAGAGATAACTGGTGCGGGGGCCAGTGAACCTCAACCAAGCGCCCCAGGGTTTGCTCCGTTGAACTTTCCTATGCGGTCTGTGGAGCAAAAAATGGCAGTGCAAACTGACATTGAAGCCAATCAGTATACATTGAAGTCATGTGTGGAAACCATGACTGCGGTTACAAATTTGTCGAACCGGCTGCAGAGTAGGACAAATGAGGTGCAGCATTTAAACGGCCAACTGGCTCTGCTCCAACGCATGTATAAAGGGAAGGGGGTCACTTGCTTTAGATCTGATTTAATTTGCTTCTTTAATGTTGGCTTGATTTTCTTGATAGCTATGATTTTGAAGAATTCAGATGAACAGAGGGTGATTTACAGTCATGTGGGAGGATAGAGGGGTAACAGGAAGGGGATTTACATTTTGTAAAGTGATTTGAAAACATTTTGTCATTTGTAAACTATGTTCTCTTGATTTTAGCTCATTATATTTCATGTTTTCTCTTAAGGAAAAATGTTAAGAAAATACATATGAAAACATTTTGGGATTGCTAAATTCACTATTTTGGAATAAAAGTATAGTGTGCTTGCTAAGAAGCATAGTGTAGAAAATTTAATCTATAAAGAGAAATAGAGAATTGTATTATTGATGTTTTTTTTTTTTTTTTTTTTTTTTTTTTTTTTTTTTTTTTTTTTTTTTTTTTTTTTTTTTTTTTTTTTTGTTTTTTTTAAAAAAAATATATAAATTATGGGTGGAATGACGTGTTGGATGTGAATGGATATATATATATATATATATTTTTTTTGAAAGAAGGAAGATAAAATAAAATAAATAAATAAAGGGTATAGTGGGATCAGACGGCGTGGTGTAAAGTGGATGAAAAGAAAAAAAGATAAATAAATAAATAAAGATTGGTTTAAAAAATAAAAAGGAGTATGGGTGTGTGCAAAAGGTAGTGAATGATGAGATAAAATAAAATAAAAAAAAAATGATGGGATTTCAGAGAAAGAGAATGTAGGTTGGGGTTTGTGTCCTGCAAAAGAGATATGGTTGGGTCGGTGCGTGGTGGTAAAGGAAGTAAAAGAAAAAATAAAGAAATAAGAAAAGAAAAGTAAAATGGGATTTGTGATGCCGAGAGAGAGAAAAGAGAGATGGGTTTGTGCAGTGATTCCAACTTCCCCAAACCCTAATTCCCTCCTCTTCTGCCCCTCATTGACAGTCAAAAAGCTTCAATCTCTGGCATCAGAGTTCAAAGCTCTGCCTGAGCCGATCGATCGCGTGAAGCGGCTCTTAATCTATGCTTCTCATATTCCTCCATTGGACGAGTCAGATCGATTGGAATCGAATCGGGTCATGGGTTGTACGACCCAGGTGTGGTTGGAAGTAAAAATGGATTCGAAGGGGCTAATGCGATTCAGAGCTGACAGCGATGCGGAGATCACGAAGGCGTTCTGTTCGTGCTTGATTTGGGTGCTGGACACGGCGGCTGTGACAGTGCGTCTATGGTGACTGAGAACGGTTCTGATGGTGGGTCCCCCTATTTCTGGTGCGTTCTGTTCAGCAGTGGCAAGGAGCGAGGCCTCTCGTTCTCGGATGAATTGCTCGATGGGTTGTTGAAGCTTCTGGATGGCCAAGCAAAGCTTCTCCATCATGCCAAGCGAGCCGGCGAGGAGATTCTCACATCCCTCAGGCAAGCCGAACTCGGCGGTGGGTAATTTGAAGGTGTGGAAGCTGATTTCATGACCTAATGACTGGTCTCTCTCGATCGATTTCTGGAAGAGCTGAGCATGCGCTGGAGTTGTGATTATGGTCACTTTAGCTCCATGAGCTGCAAATACCCTTGCTGTGTCTATGGCTGGGATCATGTGGCCTCTTTGCACTATCCATGGCAAGAAAAACATTTCTACTTTACCATCATTTGATGAATCCATGCTCTGTGGAGAGAGAGAGAGAGGCGAAGGAGGCAATGCGGCAGTGGGAAGGTATGTGTAGAACATGAAAGATTGGTAATGAGAGAGAGTATTTGTGCAATGATGGGAAGGTATGTGTAGAAAATAAACGGAATAGGTTGAGGTTCGGCGGACGGCTAAGGTGAGGTTGCCGTCCGCCGGTGAAGCGAAAAATTATAGGTTCTAAACCTGCTCTGATACCATGTTGACTCTGATACCATGTTGAAATTGATGTATTATTGATTGATTCATGTTGTATATTACAAATGGTGAGGGGCACCTTATATAGGAGATGTAGTGGAGTAGGTGGTAGTAGGTGGTAGTGGTAGGTGTGTAGTAGGTAGTGGTAGGTGTAGTAGGTGGAGTAGTTTTTAACAATAGATTTAAATGTTAATGGGTGTGGGCAGGCACTTACGGGTTCTCAATGAAACTATTGCCAGCAGGATCATCAAGAATGATTGTAAAGGATGACTCGCTTTTTGCACAAGCCCTCAATTTTGGCAAGAACCGGTCAATTGCTTCAGCAGATTGGGGATCCACTTTCTGAAAAGCAGAAGATAGGTTGTAAGGGAACCTAAGAAGGAGAAGGAGGAAGATGAAGAAAAATGGCTAGTGAGTTCAAATTAACATGTACCTTTCTTTCTTCTTGAAGGGCCTCTATTTCATCCGCAGCTCGTAACAATATCCCTTCCACCTGGAAAACAGACAGCAGGGGTGGGGTTAATAGTGTACAAAGATAAGCATCCAAATAAATAACACAGATTATGTGGAAAAGAATAACACAAGATCAAACATGTTGACTCAAAACTGCATGAAAAGAAGAAAAAAAGGGGGGTTTTATTCAAAATTCATGCACAATGCACCAGCAATCTTGGAGAATATACTGAACTTTTAACTCATAAATTGAGCGACTCCTCTGCACTACTCACTTCAGAATTCTGACTTAACAAAATATTACTAGTTTAACATGACTGGACATCACTTATATGAATAGACATATAGGAACAAAGAGTTAATGGCCAAGGTAAGACAGAGCAGAGAAATATAATCATGATAGCATGTTACACACAGCAGAACTATTTATCGAAGTTATTATCCAAATGATGGGATGGGATGGGATGGGATGATATTAATTCCTACTCTCCAAGTGGCTTCTACATGTGATGCACCCAAACAAAACCAAAGAAAAGGAAAAACCCATCAACGGGAGATATCACCAATGCATTTCTTATCATGAAAAATGTAATAATTTGAAGAAAAGAAAAAAAAAAAACAAATACAGAAAAAAGTCCCACTTGATACAATACCTTTTTTAACACTCTGGTGTAACTACCATTGCAAAATCTATATCTGACAGAAATACGATCATAAAAAGTTGCACTTGTATGGGAAGAAGGTACCAATTGCCAGTGGCAACCAGTCAAATTGCTCACATAATGTGTAAACATCTTGGCAAAAGGTAATACATAAACAAAAGGACAAGTTAAGCATCATAAGTACAGAAGATAATATGAAATTAGGAGTAGGTTATAAAAGGAGATACCGTTGACAAAGATCCACGCTGAGCCTCTGGAGGAATCTCAAAATCCAGTTCAGGAATCTGTAAAAACCAATGATAGAAAAATGCAAATCTCTTAGATCACAATAACAATTCAAAGATGTTAATGATAAACAATGCATACATGGAGGTCACACAGATCAATCGTCATCAATCATAACTGACAAATAAGTACAACACCAATAATACATGCAAGATTCGTAACACTAGAAGTGTAATTTTGTTATTATTAGAAGGGGGCTGCCAATGATCAGAAAGCATCCTTTTATAAAGAGATGAAACTAGTAGATACAATGATTAGAAGGAGAACTAATATACTTTGTTTACAATAAACTAAATGGGTTGGGGGAGAAATCTAGGGAAATCAAAGGAAACAAGAGTCCCACCCAATAAAAATATATGTATGTATGTATGTAGAACAGCCATCATAGACATATGTAAACAATCCAGTCATTATTTGAACATTCAAACCAGCAGACTGCCAAGTCTAGTTTACTCAATATAATTTTACTAAAATAATGCCAATAGAATAAGAAAATTGTATAGTTGACGAAAGTCAAGTTAAAAGTGGAACCCAAAATATACCTTAATAGTGGCCGTGTCAGATTTCACTACTTGCCGATTGAGCATCTGCATAGAATAACTCCATTAGTATAACACTTTAAAAATTTTACTTTCCTAAAAACTTTGGAAAACAGTTAAGCCATTAGCAAAAGTTTGTATGTGTATCATTTGCAAGTAAGAGCAGTGCAACTTACATTTTGCTTAAAAATAGAGAAACAATTTTGCAGCGCAAAAGTTTGTATGTATATACCAAGAACAACAATGATAATGATGACAACAACAAGAGATGGAAGAGCTTGGGAGCAGATGTAATAGCTACATCTAAAACCTCACAAAGGCGTGCATGGTGTTAGAAAATTTAAAATTACAAACCAGCTAGAAAGAAACCCCCTGAGACTGAGAGTAACCCCAAACTAAAGATAAGTAGGAGAAATCATTGTTGCATGAGTGAGGAACAAATAACAAATGCAAATTACAAACTCAAATGTGGGAGAGGACGGCTAAAATGACAAGTGCAGTTCGTATGAACATATTTACAACCACATTTTTACTCAGCTTTGGATGAAACCAGGTAGCTGAAAAGCATAAATTCAGAGAAGTCACTGTGTCATAAGGGTAGACAAAACATCTTAAAAAGTGATTGTATCTTTCTTTAAATTATCTATCAACTAGTAGAACTTGCAAGTGATTTCAAATACACAAGAAAGTACTATCATAAGTTCTCAAGCAGGAGTAAAAATTAGCCAATATACAGTCTTCAACTATTAGGAAAGTGGTCTGGAATTAAGTTCAAAGCTCAAATAGACAATATAAATAGTTCTAATTTTCTTCTTTTTCACAAGTAAGAAATCCGCAAAGAGGCACATCACAACAGGGGCTTAACGAAATTAAATTTCATTACAAATAAATATTTTATTATATTTTGACCGACAACTTAGTTTAGCTTAATGAGCATCTTTTCATTAAAAAACGAAAGCATATTTTGATAAATGCAAAATTATATAACTTAAAAGTGCTTCATTTTATAAAAGTTCATTCCACATGAGACAACCTCTTGATCACCTGGTGGAAAGTTCAATTGATAATGACACCCTCGGGGCTGGAGCTCACCAGCAAACTGCACTTCATTGTTCCTACAGATAGACCAGACAGATAACATAAGGACCTGTTAGAAAAGACAAATTGACCTAAATATGATAAAGATTGTAAAGGGCGTAAAAATAACTACCTCTCACCACAATGTGGACACTCAAAGGCTGACAACAAGATCTGCAAGTAGAAAGGATTTTGCTATAGAAAGAAACCTTCACATGATTTTCCATAAGCTCAAGACAAGAAAATGAAGCAGGCAGGGCAACATCAAGCAAGCATGTGCTCGAGAGAGAGAGAGAGATTCAACCCATTTTTCTAGGGTAGATTGTCAAAGCTTAACCCTTCATAACATAATGGAACTTTCTAAATAATATAAAACTAAGAAAAGCAATAGCCTAGTAAAAGTAACAACAATAACATTCATGTTAACTTAAACCTTTCAAGTAAACAATATTCCCCAAAGATGGCAAAAGCATACCTTTCTGAAGTGCGGAATCAAAGTTAATAAAAACCTCGTTGTGCCCTGTTAACACCACCACATTAGACAACGTTCAGAAATTCACGATTGATATCCCATGATTACTAGATGAAAGTAAATGCATGTAACTGCTATATTTTTTTTTTTTGAAGCATCTCAGCTCAATAATAAATACTACATTTGCCGATATGAATTAATGAAAAGCTTTTGATGAAACCAGGTAACCGAAAAGCAGAAATTCAAAAAAGGCTGACAAACCCAAGTTATTGTGTGGGTGTTTGAGAAGTGGCTATTTTAAAGGTTTTTTGGCTTTTTGACTATTTTAGTAGGCTATTTTAGTTTTTGTGTTTGGGAAGATGGGATGGATTTTTATTTGAGTTGTTGTATTGAAAAATGTGTTGAAATGATGTTTGAAATTAAATGACAAATTTGTTCCTAATCTTACATTTTTCAAAATTGGTGTGAAGGGGCAAAATCGCCATTTACTATCTTAGGCAATAGGCTGTCAACTCCACTGTGCTACACTGTGAACGTGACAGTGTAGCTGCCCCATGCCGAAATGATTTTTTTTTTTTCTATTAGTTTAAGATATTTGAGGCTATTTGGCTAAAAATGTATTTGAGGCTATTTTAGCCACAATATTGGTTTCCCAAACACCCCCCGTGTTTTGATATTGTCTTTGAAGGAGGGGTTTATGGAGCAAAAGCAAAAAAAGAAAAGGAAAAGTGAATGAAACTTTGGCGAAAAACATTATTAACGGAAAACATTTTCTAAAAAAACTTTTTCCATAAAATGTTTTCTGGAAAAAACATTTTTCCATGTTTGGTGGTGGTGGCGGCGGTGTAGTGGTGAGGTGGCAGTAGCAGTGATGGCGACGGTGATGGTGATGGTGGTAGTGTGATAACATATTGGTAGTAGTTTGAAAAACATTTGTGAAAAATATTTACTGCCAAATGGCTTCTTTTTTTGTTCACCATGGAAAATACTTTTTCGTTCTTGTTTTCTAACATTTTTTGGAAAATATTTTCCATTCAAACAAACAGAGCGTTAAAAGATAATATTTTGCCACTTTTTCCTTCTCTTTTCTTCTGTTTGGTTGTTGCATTTCGTTTTTTTGTTTTATATTTTTATGATTAAATCCTGAAAGCAACCCAATTTTGTTTGCTAAACACAAAAACGAAAACAAAACAAGTGTTTTATTTTCCCAAAAATTAAACATAAAACAAAAAAAAAAAAAAAGAAACAATTTTGAGGAGCTTGGTTATCCCATAATCAAAATATGTGAAAAATACTATTTTGATTATCTAATCCATCCCTACAGTGAAATTTAGAAGATTCTGAAGAACAAAAAAAAAAACAATCTTTTGGCATCGTCACATTCACAATAGTTTTAGAAACCAGTTCTACAAAATTACATAATCAGCATATATATATAGAGAGAGAGAGAGAGAGGAGAGAAGATACGTTTTGGCGGCAACGCATACAAAGGCTTTCGACCTGGTAAAGAGGAGCGTCATTGTCGTCTGAAGATATAGCTTCGACCACTGATCTCACATCCACTATTGAGTCTTTGTTCGTCTCCATTGTTGAATACACAGAGGTGAGTTCGGAGGTGAAACTAGGGTTTATGACTCTCTCTCTCTCTCTCTATTTGTCTAGAAGGTGAGAGTTCTCAGAGACAATTCGGCTCTGTTTGGTTAAGATTTCAAAATATAATTCCAAAGCTGATTTGAGTGTGGTATTTATTTGTAGCTTTTCAATCATAATTTTGCATTCATTTCTCAAAATTCATTTCAAATTATAATTATTATTTTTTAAAATTCATAACCAATTCAAAACTATTTTCTAAATTCAAAAATAACTTAATTTTTATTTTAAAATTTTTTTATTTTTTTGGATGTTGAATTTTGACCTCACAACCAAATCATATCTCTTCGTCGAGATCTTAGGAAATTAAGCCATAGAACACGTGTAAGAATAGAGAAGCCTGACACTTGCACACAAGAAGACAACAAAACCGGTAGCTCATCCATCAAAAAGTACTCTGATGAACAAGTTAGTTAACTTATCTCACAAGATATTGGCACAAATAAACAACTCTCAAGTAAAAATATATCTTAGACCTATGAGGTTGCTTACCTGTGAGACCCCTAATTTTTGTAAACCCTATTAAGTCCCTAAATTTTGAGTTATTATGTTAAAGCTCTTAGTTCTTCGTTTATTCATAAATTTAACCCTAAAATCGGATGTATCACGAATGAACCCGTACGAATCCTAATCGGCTCCGATAACTTAGTAATCATTTTTACACGCTAATATTAATTATTTAACTATAAGGCCCCTGACCTTTGTAATTTTATTTTGCCCTTACTTTTGAACTATTTCAATAGAAACCCTCGATTCCTTATTTGTTTTCAATTTTAGCTAAAGAATCGAAAACGGGCGCCAACTGAAAACTCGCAAATCTTGATTGAATCCAAGAACTCAGGAACCATTTCTAAAACCCTAATAATAATAAAATTATTTTTCTAAATATATTTTTCACACAGAAACTCTAGGTTTCCGGTTTTCAATACAATTCGCCGTTTAATTCAAAACAAAGAACCTTTAATCGAATTAAATTCCCAAATTCTAAATAAACTATATACCACACTTAAATGCTCCAATTCATAAATTAAAACCAAATCCCTCACATTTTTATTAAATAACAAATTGACCTCAAACAAGTACCATTATATAGAGGGTCCAGCTTGTCTCATGTTGAGATCAAGACTGGACTCATCCAGTCTGGCCCATGGGTTTATTTTTGGGTCCCGTTTCGATAATCCGAACCGTTCAGTATGTAGAACTCGTTGAGTACTATATCCTTATAAACAATCATATTGATCGGATATTGATAGTTATTTGATCGGATCAGATTAAAAAAAATGAAGTCAAAAAATAAAGGGTAAATTACATTTACCTCCCCTGAGGTTTCTGACAAATACAGGGACCTCCCATGTAGTTTGAATAATTACAGTAACCTCCCCTACTTTACCTGACAATGTCAAGATTTCCCCAAAATTTGACCGCCGTTTATGCACCTAGCCGACCCTGCTGATGTCATCAACTGTAAACACAAAAATACCTAAAATGCCCTCAAGTGCCTATAATGCCTATAATGTAAATACTAAAGTGCCCAATGTAAACACTTAATTTGATTTTTTTATTTAAATATTTTATTTTATTTTGTAAATATATTTTTAAATATTTTAAAAAAAATTTATGTGTTTTGTTATGATTTGAGTGTAAAGTTTTGAAAATAATGTGGAGTTCGAGTTATGTGTTTTGTTATGATGTTTGAAAATAATTTTGAATTGAGTTTTATGATTGTGTTGGTCAATTCAAAAATTATTTTCAAAACTCATAACCAAACACAAACTTAAAAAAAATACAAACTTATGTTAAATATATATTTTTAAATATTAACAAATTTTAAAAATTTTATTTTTTATTTTAAATATTTTATTTTATAAATATATTTTTAAATATTTTAATTTTTTTGTTATGTGTTTTGTTATGATTTGAGTGTAGAGTTTTGAAAATAATGTGGAGTTTCGAGTTATGTGTTTGGTTATGAGGTTTGAAAATAATTTTTGAATTGAGTTTTGAGTTATATATTTAGTTACGATTTGAGTCTGAAATTGTATTTTGAGTTTAAAATCTTAAAATTAAAAAATTAAAATATTTACAAAATAAAATAAAATATTTAAATAAAAAAATCAAATTAAGTGTTTACATTGGGCACTTTAGTATTTACATTATAGGCATTATAGGCACTTGAGGGCATTTTAGGTATTTTTGTGTTTACAGTTGACGACATCAGCAGGGTTGGCTAGGTGCATAAACGGCGGTCAAATTTTGGGGGAATCTTGACATTGTCAGGTAAAGTAGGGAAGGTTACTGTAATTATTCAAACTACAGGGGAGGTCCCTGTATTTGTCAGAAACCTCAGGAGAGGTAAATGTAATTTACCCAAAATAGTTTGATTATGACTGTTGATCAAAAATACAGATATCGAGTTATGAGTTGTATATTTTATTATCAATTATAGGTTGAATTAAGTTTTGAAAACTCATCACTAAATAAATTTTCTTATTTCACATGCCACACAAAAACTTTCAAAACTTAATTCCACATGCAATTCAAAACTCAATTCAACATTCTATTTAAAACCCATAACCAAACAAATTTTTTACACTCAAATCATAATTCCACAACTCACAAACTCAAAATACAACTCATACTCTCAAATCATATTTACAAAACTCTACTAAACGCAACCTTTAATTAGATACTTGGCAAACGGGCGAGAGAAAAGGAATATGGGTCGGAGGTCCATCTGATTAGGTTCGGGTCGAATGAGCTTTGAACAAGGATTGTCTAGTCCAATTTGGGCAGACTCAATTCGAGCAACCTGAACCTAATTTGAATTTTTTTAGAGCTTGAATAAGATATTTAAAAATTAGTACAAGTTTTGGCAAAAATTCAGAAGCTTGAATTAAATTTAGACAGACTTGGACAAAGACGTCAAATAACCCGAGCAACCAAAACCTGAATTATACATATATAGATATATAAAAATATTAAATATACCTATAAATTATTAGTCATTACATGATATTAAAGTAATTTAGATTATCAAATTATATTGAATATATATTTATATATACAAATAACATAAAATCTGATTTATTTTTTTGTTTTTTGGTTTTCACTCGTAAATTGTAGAGACTATTATAGCAGCATCTTTCTTACGTTATATAAAATATTTGTTTGGATAGTATTAATGATTTTCTATTAAATTGTAGAGACTATTATAGCAGCATCTTTCTTACGTTATATAAAATATTTGTTTGGATAGTATTAATGATTTTCTATAATAAAAAAAATGTAAATATAATAAAATTTTAATAATTTAATAATGTAGTTAAAAAAAAGAATTGAAATTCATTTACAATTCGGGCAACTCGAGCAATTTGAGTTTATCTTGGGTGGGGTTTGGGCTTGCAACCTCGGGTTGCAATTCGGGCCTAACGGGGCTGTAGAAATCCTAATTTTTGTAATTACCATTAAATCCCTAACCATGAGTTTATTTCAATAAAGCCCTTGAATTTCCTCTTAATTGCACTTTAAACCCTAGAATCGGAAAGTATTGCGGATTAATTCGAGTAAACCCTAATCGATCCCGTAGATTAATAATCACCTTTAAAACCCTATTATTAATTATTAGACCTTATATTTATAGATTAATCACTTTAAAATCTTAATTCTCGGTAATGCCGTTTTTGTTCGGTTTCTTGCCTTTGTTTACACATTAATTTAACGGGACCCAAATTTATTATTCTAACTATTTTCTAATGTTAGTATATTGTATACTAAATATCAAGGTTTCATAAATTTATACTTGGTCCCTATATACTTTTATTTTATTTCATTCCAAACCTTAATTGTAATATTTTCTTAATTTATTTATTTATGACTATTATTTTATATTTATAAATACATATATATATATATATATATTTCTTGGAGCCCAAATTGTTGGTCATGTGATAGATGAAAGGGTCTTGATGGCAACTTTGACAAATTGCACTTATAGAACTTAGTCCTTGAGAAACCTCTCAATCATTCTCTATATATATGTGCACATTTCTCCTCCCTCATTTTACACATTTTTCAGCCATGCACTAGAGGAGTGAGAGCATATTATCTTGGAAAGAGAGAGAGAGAGAGAGAGAGAGAGAGAGAGAGAGAAAAGAAAAGTAGAAAAAGAAGAATTGTATTGAGTCTTGTACAACAAAGGTGTTTACATCACCTCTTCTCTCAAGTTCTTTTACTACTTGTTTTTCCCCTTCTAATACATGCTCTTTATATATATATATATATATATATATATATTGTAATCTAGGCCTACACTCTTGTATAAATGTGTATTAATCAAGAAATTGTATGTTTCTATTTCTTTCTTAAATTTCTAGCAGCAAATCTTTTCCTTATCTTGAATTTGTTTTCCTATCAAAACTCCATAAACTCAAAATCTGCTTTTATGGTGTAATATTTGGTATGTTTAGAGTATGTGATAATTTTAGTAGGACCTACGGATGTATGTTTATAACCTAAACAATTTTTCTAAGTTTGTTACCCATAGAACCAGAAAAACAGTCAACTTTCTCTATTTTTATAAAATTCCAGAAAAATAATCTTGAGTCCACTTTTATGTTAAAATCTTAATCTTGGTGTTATATTTTAACTAAAATTTGTTTGAACTCAAAAGAACGAGGGATTCGAGAGAAAAACCGATTTGCGTAATAGTCAACGAATCTGGATAGATCTTGGTAATTATGAATTATTTTAAAATCTAAAATACCTATCCTACTTTCGCAAATTGAGTTTGAAACTAGACTTGTTTATCTACAAACTCACATGAGGCCAGGTACTTAGGGCCAATAAAAATATTTTTTTCATAATTATTTTCAAACTGGTTCAAATCTGGAAATCTGTAAATTTGTGTTAATATGCTCTTATTTGGTTTGCAACTCATAGAACCAGAAAAATAGTCAACTTTCTCTATTTTTATAAAATTCCAGAAAAATAATCTTGAGTCCACTTTTATGTTAAAATCTTAATCTTGGTGTTATATTTTAACTAAAATTTGTTTGAACTCAAAAGAACGAGGGATTCGAGAGAAAAACCGATTTGCGTAACAATCAACGAATCTGGATAGATCTTGGTAATTATGAATTATTTTAAAATCTAAAATACCTATCCTACTTTCGCAAATTGAGTTTGAAGCTAGACTTGTTTATCTACAAACTCACATGAGGCCAGGTACTTAGGGCCAATAAAAGTATTTTTTTCATAATTATTTTCAAACTGGTTCAAATCTGGAAATCTGTAAATTTGTGTTAATATGCTCTTATTTTGGTTTGCAACTCTTATATTCTACATTTCTTGAATGTTTTAGTCTTGATATGTAATCTATGATAAATTGTGAATTTGCCTTACCATGAATAAATTACTTGTTGTTTAATTTGGATTCGTAATTATATTAACCATGCTTTGCTATAATTGATAACATAATGCACTTAATAAAGGGGAAATCAAATGGGATGGTAATGAATTGCAATCATTATATTAAATTTTATGAGATAATGAATGATGGATTCAAGAGTATGATATAGAAGAATGTGTTCACTTTTTGTGAAGTATTGCGCAAGTGTGCTTTCGAACCCTAACATAGCACGGGAAGTATTCTGGCTGCTTAACGAAAATGGGAGGCATAAGGGTGGTAGTGAGAGTCTCACATAGGGAAAGTATCCCTAGAAGCCTGCTTCCTTGGGACAGACCGTGATATCACTACTCGCGTATGTAACCTAGGTGCGTGGGCATCATTGGTAATTGTGCGGTAAGCGACGCACTGGTGGTTATGCGGTAAGCGACGCGTCGGTATTGTATTAACCAATGGGGAGTCAAAATTGCCTATGGCCAGTCTTAGTGGTTGGATATGAATGGCATTCCACGGGCAGTTGCCTAGAACTAACTAACATTGACTATTATTCATGAGAACTGAAATTTAATTATAAGCTTTGCTTAATTATTGCTTTCGTTGTATGTTATGATCATGCCATTATGTTGCTTGTGTATTTGGAATGGGAAAATGGTCGGGGTGTGTGTGTTTCAAAGCTCATGGCGTTTTATGCTAGGTGAAGGCGAGTTTTATACTGAGAACGAAATCCCTAAAAGTTTTGAGGAACCATGGCTGCCTTAGAGATTAGATTTTATAATTCCTGTATTTTAGATAACCTTTTTGTATCAAGGAATTGATTTGTATTTAAAGACTTGATGAATTTTATCTGTAACTATTATTAATATTTTTTTTAGTGTAATTATTTGTATTTTGTATTTAAAAATGATATGTATCTGTTAGTTAAACCCCGGTGTATCGTTATATTATATTATCAAAATTTGGGGCGTCACACGGGCTTAGGCAAATCTCAGCACAACTTAAATTAGGCTTGGACAATCTCCCAACCCACCGAACCCGCCTAGGTTACGCCCCTAGTCTCGTCTCCCACCAAAACAGCCCAATTTGGTCCGTTAGACCCGTTATGAGAAGTGTTTTTTGTTTTTGCTTATTTTTGTCTTTACACTGTATTAGAATGCAAGATTTGAGAATGTATTTTTTTAAAAAAAATAAATGAATAAAATATACTTATATTTTATATAATTTTACACATTCTTTTTATTTCTCTTTTCAAATCATTCAATCAAATACTGTGTTAATGATTTTTTTGTTTCAAAATTTTCAAAATGTTTTAGGTTTCTATATTTGAAAATTTATAAATTTTTTAAAAGAATTCAAAAAAATAAAAATAAAATCATAAAGACAAAAATAATTCAAAATAAATAACTTTTTTTTTTAAATTTTATTTTTGGCTTTAGTAATTTTTTTTGGAATTTTTCAAATTTTTTTTTTTAAATTCGTCTCGACAAAACGGACAAAAAAAGTAAAAAAAATTTACTTATTTTTTTTAATTTTTTTAAAAAATCACTAAAAAAAATTTTAAAAAAAAATGTGACCACATCCCCCCCAACCCAAAAAAAAAATGGGCCATAATGGGATTGGTTCATTTTGTTGGTTTATTATGATAGGTTGAAATTTTAGTCAAAAAAATTATTATAGAAAACGTTAAACCAATCCCTTTATATATATATTTTTTAAATATTTTCATAAAAAAATATTTAAAAAATTTATTTCCCAAAACAATCCACAATCTACTTTGTTTATAATTATAAAATTTTAAATAGTTTGATGAATGAAAAAATATATATTTTGATTAATTGTTATTAGATATGACAATTACTAGATGTAGAAGACACCTTGAAAACAAAAAAAAAGAAAAGAAAAAGAAAAGTGACAATGTTCCCAACAAACTTTATGTTAATAGACAGATATATAATATATTTATTGTTTGTTATTTAAATGTTTGTATTAACAAAAAATTTGGTTTGAATCAAATAAAAAAACGACAGTAAAAATCAATTTTTACAAATAGAAATTCAATCAAGCAATGTGGTTGGTGTCCTATGCCTTAACAATTTCAAGAACTTCTTTGGAGGTTGCAATGTGAAGAAACAAAGTATAGACACACTAGAATTGGTAATAAAATTAAAACTTGTCACTCAATTGCATTAATTAAACAATAAGCACAATCTTTGTTACACAACCAACAGGTATTAAAATGGTTACAAGAACTAACTATTAATCTACTCCTAAATTAAGATAATCTACTCTTAAATTAAGGTAGACTACTCCTAAATAAAGGACTCTGATGAGTTTGATGTTTTGTTGATCATTTCTTCTCGTATCTCCCTTGGTCTTTTATAAGCATATTTTCAAATAAAAATTGCCCAAAGCAGTTCTTTAAAACAGTTATTCAATAAATGAAAAACCAACTCATAGTTTCTTGAATCAATCCACATTCTTAGCATAAAGTAACACGTGTTCATCTTTCAACTTGTCACCAAGGAGTGTCTTCCCATGTTCCACTTTTCTTTCCTTGGTGCTATGACCCACTATGCTTTGAATCACCTCATTCAGTTTCCAAGCCACACGTTGTTCTAGAGCCATGATGCTACGATCCACGTTGTCACTTTCCTCTCACGTAAGCTTAGAAAGACTGCTAGCAATAACAATAATAATAATAATGATAAGAATAAAACATAATTATGGCCATAGTAAATTTTTGAAGATGGTCATAATCTAAATCGACAGATCAAAATTGACAAGTCACAATCAATGAAATTAGATTTGGCCATAATTGACAAATCATAATCAATTAAACGAGATTTGGTTATAATCGACAAGCTATAATCGTCAGACAATCAATTTTTTGTGTCAACAGTTTGTTAGTACAAAATTTTGACTTTATATTTTCTATCGAATAAATTGTAATCTATCAAACACTCAAAATTTTCTCTCTATTTCACTATGCTTAGGTTGAATTTTTTGCCAAATTTCTATTTAAAAGGTTAGGGAGGAGGAACAAAGGTGTAGTATAAAAGGAAGGGGTCGAGACAAAAGAGTGATGGGAAAATGAGGGGGTGTAATAGGAAGAGAAGTTGTTTGGAGATTGTTTGCACTATAAATAATTTTATCGTCGATTATGGTCTATTGATTGTATAAATTATGACTAGATTTAAAAATTTTATTACTTATTATTATTATTATGCAATAAAATATTAAAAATTAAGAGAAGTTATGAAGATTTAATGGATGGAAAACAAGTGACAATGTAAAAAGATGAAATTTATGAGTAGTTATTTGGTTGCAAGGTGGTTAATACTATATTTTTTTATAAATTGCCATTTATGATTATATTGTAATGATCTTCAACAAATCAAATACATACCTCGATTTTTATTTCTTTTCTATCATAGGAGTAGATACTATATAGATATAAGTAGTTTTAATGTACTTTACCTGTAATTTGATTATTTATTTAATCATTTTACTTGATCATCTTATTTTGTCTTTCTTTTATATTTTATGTTTTTATTGTCATTATTTTTATTTAAAGAAAGTTATTGAAACCTTTAAAGCATAGAATTTCAACACAATTGTTTAATTATTATGTTCTTTAGTAAAGTTTAAGCTAAGACTTTGTCGATCCAAACTTAATGAAAATTTTACTAACAGAAATATATGAAAGATGAACAATTGCAATACATGGGAGCTGATGGTTGGAGAAAAGGGAAAAAGAAGATGATGAGTAACTGTGCTCGATGATGGTGAGTGTAGTGGTGTGACGAGATGAGCGATGATGGTGATAGTATGTGATAGTGTGAATAGCTAAAAGGGAAGACGTAATAAGAGAAGTTGACAAAAGACAAATTTTGAGTAGTACTCGTTGACAAAAATGTTAGTGCCGCATACGATGTTAAGAAAATAAATACAAAAAAATTTATGTTGTCATTTGGTAATTGACTTTTAAAATTTGATTTTTTGGCTATTTTAGTTCTGGTTAAAAAGTTTGTTTGGATTGACTTTTTAGATTTTTTTGATTTTTGTCAAGAAAAAAGTGAAATGATTATAATTTGGATATAACATTTTATCTTATTAACTTTTTAACCTATTTTACATTTTAGTAACTAATTTAGCAAAAGAGTCCATTGCCAAACAAAATCTATTTATATATTTTTTATAAAGAGATATGGCATACATTAAAATTATAGGAAATAACCCAACCCCTCCTCACATTAACTTGTAAAAAAATAAACAAAAAAAAATGTATAAAGTATAATTTTGTTTTTATATTAATTGGTTTTGGTATAACCGTAACACATATGGCCGTCTTAGCTCAGCTGGTAGAGCGCGTGGCTTTTAACCACGTGGTCGTGGGTTCGATTCCCACAGACGGCGTTTTCTAATTCATTTTTAACTAATAGTATTTCAGTTCAGGCCAAACGTGGCATAAGACGGATTAAGAAGATGAAGGGTCGGTACTGCTCGACAGTCTCGTCTTTCTCTATCCTCCTCTCTCCTCCGTTGAAGGTCTCTGCAACTTCAAGTTCTTCACCAAAATCAAAATCATCATCATCATCACTGAAAAGAAGAGCTATATCTCTGTCGGCAATCTCAACGGCCTTGTCTGTTTTGGTTATACCCAATTCCAAATCAAGTTGTTGGTCGAAACCTGAGTTCTTGGAGCTCCAAAATTCAGGCGGAGTCAAGGCTTTGGATCTTCGCATTGGTGATGGTGACCTCCCCTTCGATGGCTACCAGGTGCGTACAAAATGGGTATTCTAGTTATACATTTTTAGAGGTCGGATTGAATGGTTTTTGGATTAATGATCAAGATCCTAATTAAATTTTGCCTATCTTTATGCTATGATATATATATATATACACACACACATTACAAACCAACATGTTCATGGGTGGTTGGGCTTCAAAATAATTTTTTTAAAATTTGGTTGGGCATATGTATAATATGATTCCCAACAATAATCATTTCAACTTATGTACAAGTTACTGTGTTGATCCTTTGGTTTTACTCATTGAATCTGTTCATTTTAAATCTCAATTACACTTTTTTTTTTCCCTTTTCCCCTTTCATTTGGCAGTAGATTTTACTCTTTCAATTTGATCTTGTTGCTTTGGTGCTTGTTTATGATATTTTTATAATATTGTTCCTTGGTTTTTGAGTTTACAACTCTGACCATATGATTGGAGTCTTCCAACTTAAAACCCAAGACGTAATTTATTTATTTTCATGTGAAGTTTTTAGAAATGGGTTTTAATTTTCCGAGGGAAAGAAGTGAAAACAACTTTGCTGTGTTATCTAAAATCACAAGAGATGAGATAAAACTCAAGATGGTTCAAGGTTGATATGAAGAGTTTTGGTGTTAACTACCTAAATTTTGATCCAACTTATTTCTGTGATAATCTCAAGTTTGAATCTTGTGGGAGAAATCTCAGCCGTGTTGGATATTTATACATTTCCACTTGTCCTTGCGTAGGATTACAAATGAACAGAGTCGTTCGTTCGTGAATACGCTTGAGTTCGGTTCGGTAAGAACTCGTTTGAATTCGATTCGTTAAATATTTTTTGGGGAACTTACTGATAAGTCCCATGTACCAAGTTCAAGATCCAGTTAATCCCAAAACAAAACACTTATACCAATTAGTCCAATACATTTTTAATTGTTACCATTTTTTTTTTTTTTTAATTTACAGACACTGTTCACATCTTACTACCGTCGGACTTCCATTTAACAGTCGTCGAAGATTATACTCCGGCAACTATTTTTTGTTTAGATCTAGCCAAATCTGATGTAGATCTACTCAGATCTGATAGATCTGAGTAGATCTACACCAGATCTAAGTAGATCCACTCATCTTCTTCGTTGAAATTATATATCTTCGCCGTCGGTGAGAGTGAAATCACGAGTTGATTTCGATGGTTGGCAGTTATCAGTAAACCCCGATCAATGGAGAAAGATATGAACACTTGCACCATCGTCTATGACGAAGACGATGAGAGAAAAATGTAGAAAAAAAGAGAAAGAAGAAAACGTAAAAAGGGAGGAAAAAACCAGAGAGATGGAGGAAACGACTTTTGAGTGTACCCAAAAAGTTATGGGATTAAATGGTGTCCACATGTTCCACATGGGACCTGTGGGTAATTTCCCCATTTTTTTTTTGCGTTCGGGCTCGAGCTCATTAAATTTTTAATAAAGAATTCCAAACATACTAAATTTCGGCTCGTTATATATATTTAAAAAATATAAATGTAAATAATAGTTAACTATAGATAGTACATTTATATAATAGTAGTAGTATATATTATTATTTCAATAAAATATTGATTTTTTTTTTTTAAAATGTTCATATATATTGTATAATAAAAATTTTAATTGTAACTTCAGTATTATATGCTCATATGAATTTATAAGTTTTTGACTCGTTAAGGTTCGTGTACAGGCTCGAGCTTGAGTCAAGCCTAAGCCAACTCGGCTCGAGCTCGGTTCTTTAAATTTTTATTGAGCTTGAGCTCGAGCTCAAGCTCAAGTTCGTTAAAATTTTAATAAATAAGTCTAAACATACTAAAGTTCGGCTCGGCTCGGCTCATTTGCAGCCCTATCCTTGTGTAATTGAACTTTGCCATCTTATTTAGACAATGTGTAGCTGCTGCACTGGACTATCCATATCCTTCCCAGCGCTTTCTCCATAAGCCGTACAACCCACCCATTGTTGTTGGTCAGAGAAAGCCTATCAGAATAGATGATCACCTTCCTCCCGACAGTGCCTGAACAACTGCCTGACCTCCTAGTCCTCTGCTTGGAGCGGCCCTGTCTCTAACAGGACATACATTATGCTTTAGGTTTTTGCTACATCGTTCATAAAAGGCTGGGACATTCAATGAGATATTGAGGACTAGGGGGTTGGGACCATTTGTACAACACTTGGTGCACATATTATACGACTGGATTCAATTGTAACTTGACTTGAAGTTTAGGGGATTGACTGAGACAATTAAAAAAAGGTCGGGTAAAGTGAGACTAGGTGTAAAGTGTTGGGGGTACAAAAGTGTAATTTGCCTGGTGCACAAATTTTACATGCTTAAACAGTGTTTGTTTAGGATCTATAACGGGCCATTTGCAACCATTTCAGTGTGACTACATGAAATGTTTTCAACCAATCTGAATAAACTAATTCATGTTTCTTTACAATTTTGATTGTAAAGGTGGCAATTCATTACTACGGAAGGTTGGCAGCAAAACAAGGATGGCGCTTTGATTCAACATACGATCACAAAGATGATACTGGTGAATCAATTCCATTCATCTTCATCCTTGGATCAGGCAAAGTAAGTCCTAAAGGCAGTTCCAATAGATGTCTTACATTCTCTGGCTTATATTGTTGTTTTGGTTAAGAAAAAATACTTCAAATTCAACTGTCAGACATGAAACACTTATGGTGTATACCATGGATAAAAATGTCCCCAAAAGCCAAGGTATTGGTTCCATACAATGAATTATGCTTCTTCATTCTCCTCCAAACAAAGTGGTTGGAAGTTCGTTAATGTCTTTTGTTATCTAAAATGGCTGATTTCCTGTTTTTGGGACAAAACAAGAGCCTAGACAGCTGAGTCCAACTATTGACAAAATAATATAATGGTTACTACAGACTTGACCCGCAAAATATGGAATTCTTGACACAGCCTTGAGGAGCACATAATGTTTAATGTCTGAATGTTGCAGGTTATATCAGGGATTGAAGCAGCAGTAAGATCAATGAAAGTAGGTGGCATACGTCGAGTCATCATCCCACCATCCCAAGGATATCAAAATACATCTCAAGAGCCCATACCACCTAATGTAAGCTCTTGTGTTTATATAATTGACTTTGTTCTTGTAATTTGTTCTTGGTACTAGTGTTATATCTAATTTATATAAATAATAAGGATAAATAATCACTTATGAAAGGGTGTACGTCTACAGTTTTTCGATAGGCAAAGGCTGTTTACCACGATTTTCAATCCAACACGTCTTGCCAATGGAGAAGGCTCAACATTGGGGACTCTTATATTTGATATTGAGTTGGTCAGCCTCAGACATCGGTGAAAACTTTCTTTACTCTGCAAATGATTTCTCATGTCTACCACAAAGCTACACGTAGACAGCTTCTTGGTGCCTCTTGCAACATCACCTACCAACATTTCTCTTCCATCTTTTGGAGTATATAGTAGTTTTTTGTTATCAAAACTTGTTTATTCTTATTAATGGATATTTTTAACTAATTGATTGCAAATATTTTTGGCCAATAAATCTTATTGCTTATTGCTTTGGTGCTTGTTCTCTTTCAAAGTTCAAAGTTTGTGAGTCATTATTATTGCAGGCTTGGATTGGTTCCCCTTTTTATGTCAAACTTCTTGTTGCTACAACTGAAATTGATCATGATGGGTTGATAGTGATGATAATAGCATGTAATATTACAGCCTGATGATATTTTCATGAGCAATAAAAAGTGGAAAACAGGCAGTTCAAAAAGAATTATGCATTTAAAACAATCAAATCCAAACCCGCTTATTAATAACGGATTTAAGTAAGTTGAGTTGAATTGGATACAAATTGGATAAATGAACTTGACCAACCCTTGTACTTCATTGATTTTATTCCCAAATAGATGGTGATGTTGGTGGCGATAGATGGAGGTAGGGCCGGGGCCGCGGCCGCGGCGTGGTAGTGGAGGTGGAGTGGTAGTGGAGTTATGGTGTGGTCAAGGAGTTGGTGCTTGCCTAAACTAGTATCCCCATATCTAACTCATTTAAACATAATTTTATTTGGGTTTGCAATATACAATTCATTTATTAATTTGGACACCTTTAAATGGGTATAATTGAATGGATTGCGGTTTTAGGCTGAGTTTGCAATCTCTATGAGCAATGTTCTATATTATTACATGGAAAATATGTTGTCCTCCCTTTTCTCCTCGATAATCTCTATTGAAAGCAAGGAATTCACAAGTCTCCCTTAAGGGAGGTGATGCAAAATGCAATGGAAAACCAATAACATAGATAATGTTGGAGTTTATTGTATTTTTTTTAAATCTCAAGAGGTCATGCAATTCACTTTTGCAAATTCAAGGGTAGTGTAGTTTGCACAAATCATGATAACCTGGCAGAGATCCAAACTGTGAAACTAACCCGCTTAAATTGTAATACATAAAAAAATTTGAGCCACACTACAACAATTTGAGCTCAAGAATGTATAAACTAGACTCTTCTTTAATTTACACAACCACTTTGTGCGATTAGCACTTTCCACTTGACTACTGAGAGCAATTTGTGTACGAGATCTGCACTAAGTTGACAATGTTCTTTGCGATGTAAAGATGAGCCAAGTGATCTATCTTCTGCAAAACAAAGCACTGTCAATACTATCCAGCTGGAGGACGCTCCGAGACTTAACAAAGATTTTTTCCAAGGGAAAGACAGTACAGAGTTCTTGTGGGTGTGTATTGCGTACCTTAGGTTATGAGGTTGGGGCCTCTGACCAGCCATGTGGCGCAAGTTGGTAAGACCTAGCAGAAGCATTGTCAACCTGGCTGACCTGGGCCCGATGCTTCTTCTTCAGCTCATTTTTCCTCCCTCAACTGGTAAGACAAAATAATTGCTCGCTTGTAATTTGGCAACACTATATCTGCATAATCATATATATGGAAAGAAACCATTAATATTTCCACTGTGAGAAACTTTAGCAGATCACTTCAGACTCCAGGAGTGTGCTTTTTTCCAGTTAGAAAGCAAAGAAATTTGGATTTCAGAACTTTTATCGATTGACATTATATATATGTTTTGTTTTTTTATGCACATCAAAATATGAATTACTCAACAGTAAATGAACTTAATTTGAGAATTGAGAAATTCATATTGTTTGTTGCAATTTAAAACTCACCTTTAAGATTATCCTTCAACTCATTGAGCAACCGAGCAGAGCATTATTGTATGCATTTCGTGATTGCATGTATGCATTTTCCCATCAAATCTGCTCTTATGCTCTCACTCAACCGACCCCTGTAGATTCCCAAAATTAGAATCAGAAGAAAACCATTAAAACATATATACATGCCGTGGCGCAGCCAGGAATTCAGCAACATATTAATCACAACATTGAATATCTTTTTTATAATAAGCAACAAGATATTATTAAACTTGAACATTCTTTTATTTATTTTTATTTTTTTGAAATGCTAGCAAGTCCCCCTTGATCATTGTTTAATATTGTAATTAGGGTGAAAAGTGCTTGAAAATTTTATATAGACTGTCCTCCCTGAATTGCAGAGTGGTCATAACATAAGCCATCAAAGAGACCCCCAAATCTTTCACAACTCGAAAGTCAAAAAACTACTTTCTGGAAGAAAATTCAGTGATTTGTTTCAAGAAATCAAAATTAAAACCCATAGCATCCCATAGGTACACAAATTAAACATAATTTGAGGCACATGAGCCTTTATCATCCACAAGCCATGATATGAAATAATTACATATCAAACTCAATTGGTAAACAAATCTGAATTCCAATGAATCAAACATATAAACAAAGCTCACATGAAATTAGTAAAATTGGGTAAAGAAGACAGAGAAGGGGATCAAAAGTCAAACCTGGCCGCACTTTAGTGTTGTTGAGCTCCTTATTGGTTGCGCAATACTTGTGTATTACCCAATTAGTCCTCTGCCCAATGGGATTCCCATTATAGAAGGCCAAAGTCTTCTTCATGCCAATTACAGTCTTCACTGAACAGACTCGTAAGGATACCATACACTAGGCTTCGCTGAGTATATCAAACTACGACCAGGTTTCTTTTTTACCCCCATTTCAATCATTTGGCTCCTTAAAAATGAAACATCCAACCACCGATCTGCTGCTGCATAGATGTCTGACAACAACACATAACTACAAGCATTGTGAGGCTCAATCTCAAAAAGTTGAGCAGCTATCTCCTCCCCTAATTCAATATCATTATGTAGCTTACAAGCCCCAAGAAGTGCACCCCAAGCACCAGCATGAGGTTCCACAAGCATTGATTTCAATAGCTCGTAAGCTGCTCTTAGCTTTCCAGACCGGCCAAGAAGATCCACCATACAAGCATAATGATAAGTTGAAGGAACTAGAGAGTATTCATTTATCATAGAATCAAAAAATCGGCAACCCTCTTCAACAAGTCCTGCATGACTACAAGCATTCAGAATGACTGTAAAAGCCACATCATCTGGAGTAATGCCTTCATTTATCATCCTACGAAAGAGGGAAACTGCCTGAACACCGTGCCCATGAATTGACAGGCCTTGTATCATAGAACAAAAACAAACCAAATCCCTCTTAGGCATCTTCTCAAATAACATTGTTGCTCTACCCATATTCCCACACTTTGCATTCATGTCTATAAGAGCTGCAAGAACATGAACTTGATGGAGGTCAAGTGAGCTTTGGCTCACATAAGAATCAACCCATTTAGCCTGTTCCAAACTACCGATTTGGGAACAAGCAGACATCAAGCTAACCACTATGAACTCATCCGGTTTAATATTCATCGACTGCATTTTAAGAAAAATTTCAACAGCCTCGTTAGGCTGACCATTCTGAACATACCCAGATATCAACGCTGACCAAGAAACAATGTCCTTCACCGGAGATTGATCAAACAAAAACCTTGCTGAAGCCATGTCACCAGCCTTGGCAAACCCATCAATCATTGCCGTGAACGAAACCACATTCCTCTCAGGCATTTCATCAAACAACTTCCTAGCACCCTTCAAATCACCAAATCTCACAAACCCACTAATCATGGCATTCCAAGAAACCATATTTCTCTTAGGCATTACATCAAATAGCTTCTTTGCTTCAATCAAATCACCTGCATTCACATACCCAACAATCATAGAAGTCCAAGAAACCTCGTTTCTCACACACATTCCATCAAAAACCTTGCGCGCAAACTCAATCTCTCGACACTTTCCATACAAATCAACCAAACTCGACCCAACAAAAACATCGTGCTCAGTACCGTACCTCACGATCAACCCATGAATCGCCTGACCTTCCTTTAACGCCAATTCGCTCGAACAAGCTTTGAGCAATGAGGGAAAAGTATATTCGTCAGGAACAACATTCCCACTCTGTTTCATTCGAAGAAAAACTGATATACATTGTGCGAGAGACGAGTGTTTGCAGTACCCTTTGATGAGAGTGTTCCATAGATAGATATTGGGTTGCAAAACGCGATCAAATACGCTGGATGCGTAAGAAATGTTGGAAAAGAGTGAGGTACAGAGAGAGATGAATCGGGTAATGACGAAGTGGTCTTGCTCTGCGCCTTTGTGGATGATTTGAGTGTGGACTTGTTCGAGGTTTCGGATGCTTTTGCAAGCCGAAAGCAAATTTGGGATTGACAATGGTTTCATGAAGATTGAGCAAAAGCTGACATCGAGATTTCGTTTTTCAATTAGGTCGAATCGGCAGAAACTACAGTTTGTTTCGGTAAATGATTCAAATTGATTGTTGAGAATTCATGGAAGCTTGAAACTCTCAAATCAAACCCTAATGCTCAGGGGTCAATCCAATCCATAGGGGTGTTGAAAGGGCTGCGAGAATAGCTTCGATCAGCAACGGCTCCTTCGTGTTCAAATGTGGCGAATGCCAATTTTACAACCAAACCCAAGTACATGAGGTTTTTTTTTTTTTTTTCGTCACAAAAACTAGAATATACATTCAAATTTTTTTCTTTTATTTATTTATTTTTTTTTTCAGGTTCACAACCAAATTTTTTTTTTTCTTTCAAAATCTACAATCAAAGCTAAATGTACCTCTAATTTTTTTTTATTAATTTTAAGGTTCACAACCATTTTTTTAAAAAATTTTAAGATTCACAACCAAAACTAAATATATAGCAATCCCGGGTTTACCCTTATTGTACAGTGATCCGGACACGTGTCTGTGGATGTTGGTAGTTGTTTATTATCTTGTTTGCATCCTTTTTACTTGTATTTGAGTTATAGGATGTGTTGGGCAGGTTTGTTACAGGTTGGTTGAGTTTAGAAACCAAAACTAGTTGCCCAGATTTTGACCTGTCCGCTTGAGCGGGGGTGTTGGCGCTCGAGCGGGGATTGCACCCATCCAGTATTTCTGTGCAGGGTTGGACGCTCGAGCGTGGTATTGGCCGCTCGAGCGGGGAGTTGGGAGCTCGAGCGGAAACCTGGTTCTGTAAAAGTTCTGGGAGTGTGTATCCGACGCTCGAGCGGGATTGTTGGCGCTCGAGCGGGAGTCTGTGAGTGACGCTCGAGCGGGGTGTTTGACGCTCGAGCGGGTCGACTGGGTTTAAGTTCCGTGTTTTGGCTTTTCAAATCACTTTTTCACTTTCTCTTCTCTCTCCTACTTTTCCAAAAACACCATTATTGAGCCTCTCACTCTAGAACTCTACCTTCTCTCTAGGTTTTGATCTAGTAGGAGTGATTTGCTCACTTTTGGCCTTTACAAAAAAGTTGTTGATCGTCGAGGGTTACTTTTTAATCTGAAAATTTCGAGATTTGAAGCATGTTGGGTTTTGTCTTCTTCTCCCTTGGAGCTCCGAATTTGAGGTAGGGATATCCTATTCCTCTCTATGGATTTTGTCTTTAAATTTTAGTATTTTGAGATGTTGGGGTTGGTTTGGTAATTTGGTAAAAGTTTGGGCTTTTGTGTTATTTTACGAAAGTTGGGGTTTTATTCATGATAAACCTAGATGCATGTTTGGCATAGAGAAATGGAATAAATGTTAAATCATTGATGAAAATGGGACCTAAGGGTTGTAATGTTAATTATGGAAAATGACCTAATTACATTGTTTAAAT